TCAAATTGTGAATGATGTTTGTGTTTCAAAACTTCAAACTATATTATATGACAAATACATGCTGTGTATCCATCATTCAGTAGAGAATAAATGCAAAAAATCATGATGATTTCATAAAGTTGACGCCTCTTCCCATTGTGTCCGATCGATGTGTAAGTAAAATGAACAAAAGCTTTATCGCGTTTTCTTTTCGCCACAAACATTTGAAAATATGTTAGTGTATAACTTAAAGTAGAATCGTATCCATTTAGTAAGTAGACACCATATCGTAATATAAAATAGGCGGTTTTTTTGCTATTCTTGTTTCGCGTTTGCAGAAATTTCTCTGATATTCCGTATAGAAAGAAAGCTGTCAGTTGATAATATATTTCGTGCTATGCTATTGCATTTTGTGTACGGTGGAATATTTTGCGTTAGCCTGCCATGGAAAACGTAAGCCAATACATATATATATGTGTATGAGCGGCTGTGCATACGATGAATATAAATTTTTATTACTTGTGATAGCTCATTTTATTTTCATAACATTAGAAATTAGGTAAAAATGTACATCGTATCCGTATCGACCGACGAATGAGTAACTTAAGGCTCATCAAATATGGTATAAGAAAACAAGAATATCCGCCACTTTACACGACGTAATCCCTATAATTTCAGCATTTATGTACATGAGAATGCCGACGAAGAGAAGAAGAAAAAAATTGTAGTTGAATTTTTATTCGATGTTTTCTTCGTGCGCTTTGTTTTAGTGTGGAAAATTGGATACATCATTAATGTATTTATGTGTGTGTATGTGCCATGCACTGTTGATGCGCGAAAAATATCAAGTCGGGTACAACATAGAAAATGCCGATGTTTCCATTTTCCATCTTTTGCTTTTCGCATGGTTCATTTATAATTTATTACTTGGTGCTTTTTATTTATATATTTTTTTTTGCGCCTGTATGTACTTGTGTCCCGAAATGAGGACGAAACTTGGAAAAATAATCATTTTCAACATTGCTTACGTCGAACACGACGAACGAATTGTGTATTTAGACAGGCACGTTGAAACGAAATGGGCTGGCATGAAAACATTACTGTTGATATTGCGCTCAGATTAGAACAGTGGTCGGAAATGCCAACGAATATGAATGAACCACTAAATAGAAAGTGTTTTTTCTTCAATTTCGTTGTCTAATTGCAACGAAGCGAAAATGTATTTGGATAAACAAGGAACATGTGAACGAAATACACTTGAATACACACAATGTGTTTCAAACATTGGATACTTTCCAGAGATAAATTGATTAGGTTCCAAAGTGATTTATTAAATTTTATCCTTTTCGTTTTGTTTACTTAAAGGCAGACGGTGGCTAATGAAAACGAATGAGCTAAACTGGTTGGTCAACCGTCAACGATATTCAAAATAAACCATTTTGACAGCTTACACTTGTCTGCTTTAAAAGCGTCCGCAGTCGTTGATGCTTCGATATTCGGTCGATGACCGTTCAATGACACTGGCTTTTAGTGTTTCAATTTATCAATTAAGCTGAAGATTGTCAAAATTAACGACTTACAACTTTATTGCATCGGAAATTTGAATTTGCTTTTACACCACTTGCCTAATTTTCATTGATTTCACTTTCTATATCAGACTCAATGGCAGATTACTGAAACCATTTAATTGTGTTGGTGAAACTCGGGTCATATCAAATTATGCATCTCATGTACAAACTGAATAGCAGCCATTCGATGATGATTATTTTGTTGATGCACGTTTGTGTTCCACTTCACTGAATTTTCATCTTTTGGATAAATGCGCTTGCCGTGCTGTTTGAAAGTGTTTTGCTTTTCATTGTTTGGCTTTGAACTCGATTATTGTATGTCTCGTTTGATTGTGAAACCTGCATCGAAAATGGTTGAAATCTGTGTTTTTTGTATTTGAAAATGTTAAATTCGACATTAGTATGTGGGAATCAATTCATAAAGCGCCACTTGCAATCACGGCTATGTACGATGAAACTATGTCATGTTTATTTTCGTTTTCAGTGTTGCTATTGTACAGTTTGATTCAGGACACAAAAAAAAACAATTCAAGTTTCTTTGAAGCAGCAAACGAAAGCGAATGAACAAAAAAAAACAAAGCAAAAGCAAAGAGGAAGTTTTATCGACACAGACGCCTGAGATTAAAAAAAGGAAACAAACGCAATACCCACCTCTCGTCCCATCCAAATGTATTGGCTCAAAGGAAATTATTTGCGCTTTGTTTTATGACAGAATGCGAACGGTAGCAAAATGTTCGAATATTGAGAGCACGATGTGAGTGAATTTCCTCTTAATTTTTGGCAACTCTTGTTTTTTAATTTCACCATCACCTCTCTCTCTCTCGCCCACTCTCACTCAGTCTATTTTCAAACTTCACACAAACAAAGTTGAAAACTGAAATTTCAAGTACGTGACATGCTTACTGATCTGTGTAGTTTCTCTTTCTATCAAGTTTTGTCCGCAGTGCGCAGTCCTCTGCCATTTCACATCGATTCGATGAACCTATTTCATTGAATTGAATTCAATCGTGCACATGCAGTTTTTGCAACATTCCCAGGGGGCACAATCAAATTCAAACGGAGAACCAACTCAACTTTTGACCCAAAACCAGTTTGCAAATGAAATGCTTATCAAAACGACAGACTTTTGCGGGCATATTATGCACTGAATGTTGGAAATTATTCTAGTTTAATTGGTTTCACATTGACTTTTTGCACACGAGATGACCTCAATATGTGTTGTTTGGCCATTTCTTCTCGGAGCGTGGACGCTGCGTGGTTGTTGGTTAGGGCCAAATGTTTTTTTTAAATGATAACATCTTTTATCATCATGACATACATTTTCAAATGCACCGTCAATTTTTGTTTCAATCAAGTGGATAATTTTATTTTTTTCTATCATGCTTTGCAGTTAGATGTGCATTTTTGTGACAAATTTGCTGTCATAAACATTAAAATACAAATTGCTTTTCGATCCATTTAATGCAAGTTCGCCTTTGTCATCGATGTATCTATTCATGCGAAAAAGACATGCATGCATAGTGAAGCGGAAAAGCAATGATGATATTAAGCAATATTGAGCTTATAAAGATAAACGTTTAACTCATACAATAAGAGACAAGCGCACAATACACATAATCAATGAAACTTCAATCAGGACATTGCGTTTAATGTGTGATCCAAAGGAATATAATACATTCCAACACTATCTATATTCTTTTTTGTGTTGAATGCAATTCGTTGACAACAAATTTGCACGATTATGACAAAGATGGGTAGAAACGGATGGATATCAAAGGAAAACTGACATCGACCATAATACGAATTGAGAATAAATTTCGATCGATAAAGAAGTGTTGGGTTGGAGTAAAATCTCCAATACGTCATTCTTGAAAAGAATATCCAAGTTTTCTATTAGTCTATGCATCCATGGATACTGTTTGTGCCGAAAACCATTACAAAATATTCTCTTTATGCGTTATCGATGAATGGAAATAAAAATAAATCGCTTCACATGTATTTCAATAAATAGAACGTTTTTAGATAAAAAAAAAAAGAGTTGTGCTCCGTATTAGAAGTGGTATCGATAACGAATTGAAAGGAACCAAAAATAAAACGAAGAGGATTTAGAATAATCACATAAATTCACACCGATTGATTTTTTTCATCATTTCAGTTTGCTAAATTTTAAGAATTCCGATAAAATCTATTATTTTCAATATCAACATATGATGCGGTACCAACACTGCAGTTTTAAGTGTAATTTTGTTCATGACAAAATCGACATTTCCATGATAAAAATGGTGCACATCGATTTGACATCATTTGTTTGTTTTTTTTATTTCTTCCATCCGAATGCCGACGCCGCAAGACATTGATAGTCTATAAATGATTGCTCTTGTTCACTAGATTCGTCTGGTGAGAATGTCGGATATTGTGATTTTGCACTCTGTCGTTCTTCGATCGAAATTTAAATGTGAATGAAATTATAAATTGCATTGATACATTATTATCATCAGTATGAAATGACGAAATGATGTTCTGGTTGTTGTATTTATTTTCTTTATGTTGCTACGATGAAGCGACAGATCAAACATGGAAATATTTAAGCAATTGAGGACCAAGGCAGCATGACAGCATTCATGGAGATTGTAATCGGATCTGTGTAAAATGGAAAACCAATATTATTGCATTCTTGCATTTCCGCAACGCTTCCAAGAATTTTCGGTACCGAACCTCGTTTACCAGATGTTCAATATAATATGAAAATGTCGTCGTTGCGGCACATTTTTTTTCACAATTGGCAACGAACAGAGCTTTCTGACATCTAATATATCGTAGCAATCACATTTTCTTTGTTGCATTTTGTTCAATTCTCGCATGTGAAACAGCGTCGATAAATGTAAGCAAAATGATATAGAGCGAACATTCTGCATAAAATATAGAGTGGAAAATCCAGAAAATATCCTAGAATGCACGCGCTCTCGTTTGTTCGACTCTATTTTTTATGGTCTTATAATAACGAGTTTCATAGTGATCGAAGCGTTCATGGCATGGATTCCATGCAAAATAGAGCAAATATAAATTTCACTTTCGAAAGCATGCCCCGTTATCTGTGATTCGACTGCAACCATTCCAATAACACATTCGAATGATATTTTCCACAAACAAAACAATTTAAAGGTTTATTTAATGCTGCATCACATAGCAAACCTCGGAAACCGCAATTCAAAATTGATTTCTGAAGAATGTTCAAACCAAAATTTTACAAAGTACAAACTACAAAGTCACAGCACAACATAAATAAAATCTTATCCTAGACATTCACAAATTATCAATTCAAATGCATTTTCATATCAAGGATAGGTATATTCGATTTAGAATTTAATTGGAATTAATCACAATCAACAAAGGTGCTTACTTACTTTACATTTATTTTCTTTTACATATTCAGTCTATGTGACACCGCGTTGGTAACGATTAAATCAAATAAGTTTTTACAGTGTATGTTTTGAAATAAGCTTCAGTTTATGGATATTGTTTTGTTTATACTGTCGTCAGATTGCATATGAAAATGATTGATCTAAATATTGAAAGTGAATATTCCAGCAGAATCCACTTGTGACTAGAATTCTCGAAATTAATCATATTCCATTCCATTTTTTAATAAAAATTGACATTTTTCGTTTTATTCAAGATCTTTAATATACTCGCGTAACAGTGACTTTTCGTCGTTTCAAATCAATAGGTCGGTCTTTTGGGTGATGTAAAATTATTTCAAGTCTATTTCCGCTGCACACGATATCTGAAAAAATACGATCTAATTTTAAGCACCGAAATTGTGTACTCTTAAGAGAAGCAGGCACAATACATAAGAGCTGAGTATGTGTGTGTGTTTTCAGATAAATACAATATTTGTTTGTTTGTAAATTCCAACAAGCGCAACTTAAGCTAAAATTTAAGCTAACCACTTAAGTTATAACTTATGCATTCAATGAATGTGTTAATTTTGAATTTCATTTGGCTGCACCATAAATCAGTGGAAGATTTGTAATTGTTTGTATTTGTCCAGTTGTTTATCAATAATAAATCAGATGGTAGTGTTGTTGAATTGTGTTTGGACAAGTGTTCCGTTCTCGCAATTCAATCAAATCCAATTTAGTTGTACAACATCATCGACAACATCACTTAAAAACTTGAATATATATACACTTTTAAGAGAAAGAAGGAGCACGCACCCATAACGTATGTCCACTACAGTCAATTTAAATGATAAATGGAAATGTGAGGGTACATTTATGTGTGTGTGTGTCATCTGATGTGAATAAGTTTATATGTGAGCATATGACGGCTGCATGTTAAAAGGGTTCTATATTGACAATATTTACGAGTTGGTAAACATTTTTATGGATTACAGTGTCGTCTTAGGACTGGTGTGTTTGTTTGACTTGAATATGATGTTTGTCTTCGGTACACTGGATAGTTTGGTGCAAATTTACGTTCAAATACTGTGACTGCTTGCTCATAAGATGGTGGATCTAAAATGTTGCCGAAATAGTTTTGCGAAAATTGAAAATGGAAATATATAAAATGAGCAATAAGTTGTCAAATCATCAGATGAATAAGTTTTGGCATTTTGTTGCTAACTAACCATTTTGCGGATATGGCATTGCCACAACTGTAGGTTTAACTTCTTGTTCGGGTGGTGCATTTGGGTGCGGAGGATGTACCACCTGTTCATTGTTCGTTGGCATTGTGTTTGTGTCCGTATCCGCATTTGAATTCGAAATTGGATTGGTCGGAAGCACAAAGGCATTCATGATGGCATTTGAATAGTTTGGAGGTTGATCGGAAATCGGATACGAACCTATCGTTATTGGAATTGAAATTGTCGGATTAAGATGGCATCGTCCTGTCATACCTTCAATCTGGTTTCAATTAGAACAATTACGTTTTGAATACGGCCAATTTATTATATGGGCCGACTGAAGCGACCGAAACAAAACAAAAAAGAAACAGAAAACAACTTTAATGGAGAATTCACGCTTACTCTTAAGTGGTATTTAACATGCACGATTTTGCTGGTGACACAATCACTTGGGGGTGTTGGCGGCACTAAAATATTTACCGTGTACGCTTGTTTTTGTTGTGCATAACAGCCGCGTGTTTCAACTTCAGCGATTGCATCCCTTTCGATTTTGTGTTTTGCACTATTTTCATATGTAAAAAACTTGACTTCCTGCGGTTGAAATAAAAAATCGAATAAAAACTTACTGCCAAATCGTTAGTGGTGAAAAAATTGTATTGAATTGCATGCATGTAACAAAAATTCGATTAACGAAATGATGCTCTCGCAAACTGAGTTAAAAAAATGTTACTTTTGCATGTGATAACAATACAGCTAGCACGATGCTTAATCGATGAAATCCATTGGATTTGTTTTTACACCTTCAATGCAATTCAATTACAGATTTTTATCACTTCATCATGATTGCTGTTGGCTGCTCAACTTAGAGACTTACTCTGACTATTTGAACCACGAATGCCGAGATATTTTCATTGCTGGTATTTGTTAGCTCTAAGTCGACATTCACCATTTGACCGGAGCAATAACCAGACACTGGCACCGTTGCTATCATGAATAATGGACTTGATGCACAGCATGTAAACAAACAAAATGGATTGAAGCGTTTGGTTTCCTCCTCAACAATTGGATGCTGCATTTTAAAAAGAATGAATAAAATAGTCAGATGATTGCGAAAAATTCGATTTCGTTCATTTTCAATTTACACGTAAAGTTAAGTCGTTGTTTAGGTTCAATGGTTTGATTACGGTAAATGTTTCTTCAAATTTTTGATCCGACCACAGTGGGCGATCCAAAACCACTTGGAACCCATAGCGAATGTGACCATGTTGAGATTCGAGGGACGTTGGTATATTTAATGGTAGTTCGACTTGAAATGCATATTTGTACACACCTGGCGCAAGTGTTATTTCACCTGCAATGATACTCATTTTACTTAATTTATTCTTCAATTGAAATAGAGGCAAAAGGGAATCTTCATGAATTTTCCGAATGTATGAGATTTTGATTTTCGAATTTTTTTTTATAAAATATATTTTTTTTATCAACTAGTACATTTTTGATCAAAGTAAGTCTTTTAAGGTAAAAATATCATTTTGAAAGATTACTTCATCAAGATTACTTGATCGTCGTCACACATTATCAATTTCCTTCACATAGACAAGAAAGTAGTCCATCATGACGTAATATAAGTAAAAATAAACAAAAGAAACGACTTCACGCGATAATGAAATGTTTGTATCTGATAAAAAAACAATCACGTGTCTAAACAAGAAATATTTCCGCCAAAACAACTTGTCATGACCTAAGTTTCTTTTTTGAAAAAAGGCTTAGAATGTAAGGCTAAGAGAGATACACCATTTGCCAATTTTTTCTTTCATAAAAAAATTAGAAAATTAGCAAAAAATTAGCATATAAAATAGGATCATATTATAAAAACAATATAAAAAAAATTAACAAAGCTGGTGTTTATTTGCATTGGCGTCTGTCCGCCAGATGTATGGTTTTAAACATTATTGGGATTGACTAGATTGAAACATTTTTAATTGTTTCATTGTCATTCTGTTGATCATTCGGGAATATTTTACAGAAAATGATTTGTTTTGATAAAGAGTCTCCTTCAATTCGTAGCAAATCAAACGATGTAAGACGTTTTATGTATAAGATTATTTGCTAAGACAACAATACTTAAGTCACGTAACGTGACACATTATAAAAGTTTGTATGATAATTAAAAACAAAATGGATTTATGAATTTATGAAGATAGATTGGTGTTAAAATAAAATTTCCTTCCATTGATGTACTTACCGGTACGACCGCCCAAAAGATATTGGCGTTGTTCCAAGTAGATTTCCGATGCTGTGTGCGCCTCTTTTTTACTGCCTGTTCCTTCTGTCCAATAACAATATGCTCTGCCCAAGTAATCAATATAAATGCCTTTATTTCCATAAACAATGTTGTGTTTTGTTGTTATTTTATCCCGAAATTGTAATGGCAATGAATCATCGAGAGAAAAAAAATGTAAATACATTCAGTTATTGATAAATTGTTGCGATGATTCGAATGAAAATTAAATAAAACGCAAAGAAAAATAATCGAATCCACTCCAACCACAAATGGATTTGAATGGATATTATTTTATGAATGTTTTTATCACGACTTTTTCTCAAAGTAACTTGAAGCTTATTGTCATCATGTTCTAATGAATTTTATAACTATCAAATTGAGTGATGAATGAGACACATGACTTTCTTTTATTGTGACATTACATTTTTTTTTGTCGAAGTGGATGAGCAATTCTAGCAAATAAAAATTGAATCGAAATGTTCGTCAAAAATACATTCAATTACCTCGAATTAATTTTTCTTTGGCTAACGCCAAGTGCACGGTGCCACGTACAATTTGTCCACCATAATAGACACGATCGGGATTATTATCGAAATTAATTTCGCAAGTTGTAGTATGCACCATGATTGTTATTTGTTTTGTTTTGTTTATTGCAGTTGTTTTACTTGGGTTGCTATTTACTCAAAATAGAGAAAATTATGGGACAACGATAAAAAAATTCTGCGAAACAAACGAGAAGAGAACAATATATCACAACGTTATCTTGAAATTTGTCTGTTTACATTCGGCGCATGAAGGTATTTAAGCCAATGCTGTAAAGATAATACCGAAAATAGCACAAATTCACATTTTATTCACTACTGATTTCACACCAAAATGTTTTTTATTTATTTTTTTTGTGTCATCTCTGTCACCACATTCTCTTTCGCTCTTTTACAATTCAAAAACCACAGAATGACACATTCGACACAAACATCCATGTATTTTACAAATCTGCAATTGAAAAGCCGCGGAATTCAATATATTTTCGAATGAATTGCAGACCGAACACAATGCAATCACAACGAACATAAATTATTTAACGAATAATGTGTTTTGCGTACGACAAAAATCATCACAGGAATTTAAGCCGTTTTAAACGACATAGAGTGATGTAAACATCAGATTTAAAAAGAAAATACACACCAGTAATACCAATAAAAAAAATCCTTTGAGTTGATTCACAAAAGAATTTTTGTAAATACAATGCGACAATATCAGACTTTATGTGTTGCCAATGAATGGACAAAATGCTGTAACGGAGCACACAAATGATTGAAGCGCGTATTTATTATCGAACAACCAGATCATCACTGATGCTGCTGTGTTCCAGTCTACAATACTCTTATGCGAATGTAACGACGGAGTTTTATCTATACGCAAAAAAACAACAACAACAACATTCGTAGCGTAACGCTGATTGTATAGTGTGCACATATGATTAACACTCGTAGGAATCGTGTTATCAGACCGACACTACTAAAGACATAATTTCATAATTGATTGTATTTGTGATCAAAGATAACATGCGAATAAAATTCATTTAAACGTCAAAAATGTGCGATTCGAAACAAATCGGATTACAAATTTAGTTTTATAGTTTTACGAAGAATGAACGGACGGTTTGATCAACTTTTGAAAACCTCTGTTTTGTGCATCTTACAAAAAATAAAATAAATACCAATTCAGTTTCACAGTTTTGAACTTAAAATTCAATTAAAAAAATATTAACATCATTTTAAGAGTGTAATAAAATACAAAAGCCATCATTTTAATGTTGTGCGTAACTTAGTTCCATATTCTTAAACTTTAAAGTGGGTCATTTGATTTACTTTAGTGACTCAGCAATTTCATATTGATATCATCCGCCACAATGTCATTGCCGAAAGTAATTGTTTTTGAAAAGAAGTTAATCTTTGGACTTTTTTAATCGTCTACACATTAAATATTCGAACGCTAATCAATATTTCTCTTTATAGTGTCAATTTCGACCACAATTTATAATTCAATGAAACAACGAAATATCCGACAATTCCATGCTAATTACAAAATGTGAAAATTGAATAAATATTTTATTCAATTTGGTTTCCAATATTCTCTTGTGCATGTTGAAAACAAAATCAAGCTTTTCACATCAATATTCGGTATTTAAATTTCTTCTTTTCTGATTCTTCGTAGGTACCAATCAATTATTCAAATAACATGGAAATATTGTGCCGCTTCAGTTTCAGACCACCAAAGCAACACCAGATATTTTAATAAATGAATTTTATTGGCATTCCACCAATGCATTTGTCAAATGGAATATTACAAAAAAAATTAATTGCATTAATTATTATTTATTATTTTCGACATAGTTCGCAGATGTACAGATAGATAACGACCCATTGAACTCTAATATAAGTTGGTTTTGTTTTCGATTGATGATATTCTCCTTACGTCATAAGCTTGGTCTACTTCACACCTTTGCTTTTAATTTGTCTAATCAATTGCCAATTGAATGAACTTGATAATGAATTGGCAATCGATAAAACCAAAACAAAATCAAAGATTTGTTCAACTGTTCAGTGTGATGTGTATTTTAAAATAGAATTAGCCAATTTAATCAGTTCGATGATAAATAAAATATTCACCAAATGCCATTTTATATGTGAACAAAGCCACAATTTCCACGTCATTTACCACCCGACTAAAATGCATTAAACATTATTTATTATGAATTTCATACATTTTCGTTCACAAAAATTCGGTTTTATCGTAAAATGTTGCCCATTCAAAGTTGTAACCAAAAATAGTTTCATGTTATTATTTTTGGTTATCGTAGAGTGCATATTTTTTTTTGACACGGATCTTTTCAGGAGTCGCACAGAAAATAGTTTGTGTTGGTTCCAAATTGTTGAATACCACAACCGAACATGATTGTTTTCCATGGTTTCATATTTAGAGCTGTCGATGAGTTAATGAACATTCTTGGGATAGGTTATGAAATTGAAATACATTCCAACTTCGATATATAACAATAATATGCCCATACATTTAACCTAGCATTCAACAGAGATAAGAATAGTAATATAAATTTCAATGTCAAGTGAAAACAGAAGTCCATTTTCCAGTTCAAGTGTAAAGTGAGGAGACACATTATCCATTACAAGTTCAAGTTTAATTTCAGAATATATTATTACATTGTTCAATTCAATTTTGTATAAGCTCAATCTAAAATCGTTTCATTCACATTTTTGTTACGCGGAGTTAGATATATTTTCGGCTGAATGAATTGAGAGGGATAGAGCATAATTTTAATTTAAAATCCTAAACTACACATTAAAAGACACGTATATAACCTGACGCTATTCAAATGAAATGAACTTTCAATTAAAATCGTTTAATTTACGGAATTTCCGTTTGAATAAGAAGTTGAACGTTTAAATGTTGGATAGACAGGACGGAAACAATCGTCAGTTTCCTGGCTTAGTTGCATCGCTTCTTCATAAGTGGGAGGATCTTCTATAATATGAAAACAAATAATAAAATCTCGGGTGAGAATCAAAATGAGATTAAATGGATTTGAGCAAATTCACCATTGGTTAATAGTGGATGTGATGATGCAGCCGACGTACTTGGATATGATTGTGGTGATGAGTTTGTTTGTTGTGAGGTTGTTGGTTGTTGTGTGATCACATTTCCGGAAGAGCTAGAAGTTTCACTTTGAATGTTCATTTCGTTCACATTATTTGGATGCACATTTTGTATATTTTGCGCAGGCACACTATTATTATCATCATCAATCGGAAAAGTTCCAATGGTTACAGGTAATTCAAAAACTGGATCACTGTGGCAACAAGGCACTGAAACAATGACCTGTAAATAAATAAACGAATATTATTTTGAAATTTATGCGATAAATTGCATCAAAGATAGAATATGGCATCAGAACTCACCCGAATCCAGTATTTGAATTTTATGATGTTGCTGGTTGAAAAGTCCGTTGGAGGAATCGCTGGCACTTTAATATTTACACGAATATTTTCATCTCTATTTTCGTAATTAACCTGATTTTTCGTTAGGAAAAAGATTAAATTCTTTTGTCGGGCGCTCTCAGCATGAATGAAGTACGTAATTTTCTGTAATTTCAAAGTTTTTATACAATTCAGCAAAAATTTCTCATAAATGTGTCTCACTTTAATCAGGTGTATTGTGAATCCGTTGATTTTTTGACTGCTTTGATTATTTATACTCATCCGTAAATTGATGAACTGACCGGGCGTGTATCCTGCAACAAAATGTGCTGTTATCACGGAGAAATCCGAAAAACGTTTTATTATATTGTTATAAACTCACCTCCGACTGGTGTATATGCCACGATTTTCATTGGATCTGACGACCAACAACATAGCAAACAGCACACATAAAACGTATCGGTTTTTTTCACAACAACTGGTCTCTGTGAGAGAAGAGACATCGATTTTTAACAAAGACTTTATATACCATCAGAAAAATATGTATCAAATTACCCGAAGAGCTGGAAAATCATTCAAATCGAGTGCTCGAATAACAGTAAACGGTTCCGAAAACGTTTTATCGGGCCATTGAGGATTATCCAGAACCACACGAGCCGTGTATCTTATGTAACCATACTCTGATTCCAAACTGAATAGAAAAGAAAGTATTTGTTTCTTATTTGCATCGAATTTTGAACAAATTTCTACTTACGAGGTTGGTAAGTTATGAGGTAGTGAACATTGAAACGTATAGTTATATGTGCCAGGACCCAAACGAATTTCACCTTGATGAAAATGTAACAAACAAAATGAGTTCACACTGTAGAAATTAAAATTGAATTAAATAATACCAGAATAACCACCAACAAAACTCTTTCGTTCGCTAAAATAATCTTCGTTTCCTGTAAAAACGCGAACTTTTCGACTGTCATTTGTGCCATCCACCCAGTGCACATAGGCACGCCCGTGTATCCGAATATAGAGACTACGAAGTTTTTTCACTTTTGTTAAAATCAATTTGACCGTGCCACGAAGCACTTGGCCAGCATAAACGACCTTTCTGGGATTGTCTACAAATTCAATTTTACAAATGGTGGTCATTTTTTGAATGGCTTGCCCTCTTCTCATAAATTTTCATAAATCAAAAGAAATTTGGTATAACGCAAAATGGCTTTGTTCGATGAAAAACACCACCGACAAAAACACTAATTATCATTATATTACGACGATTTTCACAACATTTCACACAAATTCTATCATTTTGAGTTTGGAAAAATCCAAATTTTCTTCTTTTTTAACATTTTTTAAGAATTTTATCCTTTTTTTTAAATTTAATATACGCACAAAGACAAAAGAAAAAAAAAGTAAAGAAAAGAATACTTTCACGGTCTCCGAAGAAACAAGTGAAACTGAGTTGGATGTATACCAAAATAAAATACACTCCAATGAGTGAAATTCAGCAGTGAGACAGCATTCAGTCTCGATGGCTCCACGTTGTCGGCATCCATACAAACATTATCTCATGCGTTCGCAATTCTGCATTGAAAACATACACTTGACTCATCGTATTTTGCTTGGATGTTTGCGTCTCTTTATTGGATCCATCCATGTTTGACTCGTCGACAACTTCAAAGAAGTCTTATGAACAGAGAATACGTGTGGATGAAATTGAATCATACTGATTTGTTTATAAAACGATAAGTAATTATAGATAGAAATCTCCAAATTTGTAAAATGGAAATGAAATAATTATTTTAAAGAATTTTTTTCTGATTTATTAAACACATAAAACATTCAATTTTGATGATTTGATGTGAGGAAATACATATTGAATTCACTAGAATGGAAAATCGGTGCAATGCATGGCTTCTTCATAAGTTGGTGGATCTGAAAATAAAGCGGAAATTATTATTGTTGTTTATAAGAAAAATGACTGAAAATGTGAAACAACACAGCTAGGCGAAATATTAAAAAAAGTTCATAAAATAACAAAAAATAATTCATTCTTTACCCCCCGATACAAATGCAATTTTTTTTTTTGAAACGTTTGAATTTACCATCATTCGGATAAGATGGTGGGGAGCCTGGTAATTCTTCTATCGATGCTTGTGTATTATTTTGAATAGAATGTGTTCCAATTGTAAGTGGAAGATCTATAATTGGATCAACATGCAGCCATGATACCACACCAGTAACCTACACAACCATTTGAATAAATTCGAAAATAAATCACCAGTTGAATCAAAATATTTCCACCACTTACGCAGACTACATATTCAATGTTAATAATGTTGTCGGCTGTACAGTCGGTGCTGGGTGGCGTGAATGGTACTTGAATTTCAGCATTGATTGTTTTATTTTGGTATTTCTCGCAACCACCTACCACTATTTTGGCCATGGTCATTCTCTCCAATTTGTGTTGGATATTATTTGCGCGCTTTCTATAAGTGATTTTCTGAAATTAAAATCTATAAAACGAAAGAAACAAAAACAATTCACGGTCAAATTTCTCTCCATACCTTAACAAATTTCACTGAAAATTCTCGAATTGATTCTCTGCTTTGATTGTTTACATTTATTTGTAAATTTATCATTTCTCCGGGTGTGTAGCCACCGATGGGAGAGCGCACAGATATTTTCAATGGATCTAAATTTTTACAGCAAAGTATATGCGATTTAGAGTACATGTATGTTCCTTCAACTAAAACTGGCTCCTGTTTAATAATGGCATCAATTGTTGACAAAAATGGTTTGTTTTAAATAAAAAAATATTATAAATTATTACTCTTAATGCTGGCGTGTGATTTAAATCGCTCGATTTGATCACTGTGAAATAATTGTCGAAATATTTATTTGGCCAAAATTGGACTTCGAATGCGACACGAGCGGCGTATTTAACAAAACCATCCGAGCCCGAAATTGAAGACGGCAAACCAACAGGTAATGTAAATTGGAAATTGTAAATGTATGTTCCCGAAACCAATTTCATCTCACCTATGAATTCATTAGACAAACTTAAATTATTTACTGAACATACGCTTAAATAATGCACGATAAATTACCAGTTCCACCAACCAAATATGTTCTTTCGTTCAAATAAAACTCTTGATCGGTGTAGGTTTTTTGGTCTCTGCTACAACCTTCAGACCAACTTGTAAATCCCCTCCCATATAGTTGTACGTATACACCACGTATATTTTTGTCTTCGGTTAGAATAAATTTGACTCGTCCGCGGATTAATTGTCCCGCATAAAAAACTTTCGATGGATTATCTTCATATTCAATTCCACAGGTGGTTGGCATTATTTTTGGACACTTATTAAATGTAAATTTTATTTAGGAGATTTTATTAGAGTGATTTTATAACACTTTTTCAATTTACCATGAACTATCAAGATATTTAAACTGTGCAAAAATTGTGCTTGTATTTGTTTTATTAATAACACGTGCCGATATTGTGTAAATATTGATGCGTGGGCTAATTTGATGTAGGTGTAGAAGATTGAAGTGATAAATTATTTGTGTTGATACAACTTGATTTGAATCAATAAAACAAAATCGAAACATAGATCTCAAGAAATGTAGACGTAAACTTTATAAACGGTGACAGCGTTGCCAACTCCACCATTTGACTCAAAATGAATGTTTGAATTGTCACTATTCAACTTGCATTTATGTTACATTAAATACTTCTGGTTTGAAAGGTGTGTCATTTAATTGTATTGGTTCATCCGTTTAAGGATTTTCAGATAGAGGTAATATCAATTAACTCATAAGTCAAAAATGACATTGACAATAGACATATCAATCGTCATTTGCTAATGGGAGTGGTGCACTTGAACATATGACCATTGGTGATTTAGTAAAGGATTATCTTTTTTACGCTTTATGAAGGTGCTGTTTAATGGTTGCATTTAAAAATGGTCTTTTTTGTTTAAATATAGAATATTGCATGTTTTAGTACTAATCATAATGCATTTTCTCGTCGGTTGAATGAGTCCTTGAAAAATGAAGATCAAGTTTGAGACCACCCAGACAATGTTACCACAATTACTCGAAATAATCTGACGGACACAGCAGACGTAGGATTCTACTAGCTTAATCCTACCTCTTGGACACAGCAAAGTATTATATAATGATTTTTCAGGAAGTAGGATTCCATTCTAATTAACTCATTTTTATTATTCGATATCATTCAAGCCAACATACTTGTTGCGTTTCTACACACAGCACAATTAAAATAAATCCGACAATGTTTGGAAAAGTTTTATAAATAAACTACATAATTTCGTCTCACTATTTATGATAAATCAGATTTAATTGAATCAATCTATAACTGATAAATACTCTACTGAATATACTACTGTGTTTTTATATCTATAACAATCATTTTTATGGTTGTCGCTTCATTTCAGCGCCTGGCGTCAGTCAGGTGAGCTAAAATATCTGGATGACAATATTTAAATATATTGTGTAGTTTTAACTATTGAACTTTCGTAAAGCTTAAAGTGATTCATATGAATTTCGAGTAAAAATGATGAAAAATTCGTATATGTCACAAAAATTGACGATTTGCATCGAACAAACATAATTGGATTTTTGGTTTTTCTTTTTCATTTCATTTCATATCATTATTTTTTCTTCTCAATTGATTGTTCGTTATTTTGAATTTTTAATATGATTCCTATAAAATTGAAATCCAAACCTAACTTCAGGCGATTCAAAGAATAAGAAATCTGTTACAGCGATTCACTTAAATCATTTTACTAATTCGAAATATATTTTCTTGCATTTGAATTCAATTTGTTTTTATCAAACAAATAATCAGAATGGGATGTACACAAAGCGAGGAAATAAGCAATTCATTTGGTTATGAAAAAAACCATCTAGGACAGAACTTTTTTTATAAATAAGAGAGCCTTTGGCGTTTGTACAACATGTAATATTCGTCCATACGACGTAAACAATGTACACGTGTGGATTGTGTCATGCGCATTTGCAATTCACATTCGTGTTTGGGGCTGTTTCTATTTTGCGGATATTTTGATACTGTCTGATACGAAAGCGAAATACCAACAATTTCATAAAATAACTGCAAATTTATACCGCATAACCGTATACTTGTGGTGTCTAGAAAAACACAAACAATGTTGATACGTCAAACTGGATTTTTATTCATTCGAGAAGAAAAAAAAAACAATTGACTCGAAATTAAAACACGTACACAATGTATGTGTCTTATCCATACGGAATAAAATTTTGCTATTGGCTATGGCTTTTAACTTGCAATAAAAAATTACTTAAGTAATCTATTAGCAAAACTTTGATTATTCATTTGATTGTCCGAGAATGAAAGTGAGTATGTCAAAATGACTGTCAGCATATTTTGTATGGTGGTATTACATTTCAATAAGTTGTGAATAGAAGTCTCGCTTTCATTCTCGGTCATTCATTTGAATGTTGGTATTGGTAAAAGCTTTAGATACACATGACGAATATCAATTTAGTATTTTGCAAAATGTTTATTATTAAATTGTTGTGTAATTCCAGTTAGTGTCCAATTTCGTTATGGAAATAACAGTAAACTCCCACAGTTAGAAATAGCTCTAAATGTACAAAATTTGAAGTAAATTTCAGAGTATTGCTTAGCACTGCTGCCATCCATAGCATATTAAAATATCTTGCTGAGAATGCGTCATCCGTCGCAGGCGAAGGTACGTAGCACTTTTTACATCACCGCGAACAACAATACATGCAGTGTTCTCTATACGTACAATCGTTTGAATGTTTTGAGTGATATAATCGTGAAGAGAACAATGCATTCATTCTTGTTCGCTGTGATGTATAAACTGCTACGTACATTCGCAAGCGACGGACGACGCATTCTCAGCAAGATATTTTAATATGCTGTGGATGGCAGAAGCGCTGAGCAATACTCTGGTAAATTTTGTACGTTACAAAAATTCTATTTTAAACGAAGTTTTGCTATTTTGCTGTTTGAATTCTTCCATTGAATTGAGTTTTCGATGTTGTTAATTTGATAAAAGCATTGTTCTGTTGAATACTGTACAATAAAATGGAATAACTTTTTATTAAAGTTCAATTAAATCACGCCACCATGTGGATGCAAATATGTATAAAATAATGTTACTATACTCTGTTTAAAAACAGAAGTCACACTGTGTGACTCACACACGTGATTGCCAATACCACTAGCAACTATATGGATAAATATCTAAAATCAGTATTTTCGGAAGGAATATTTGGGATAAAGCGAATTTTAATTAAATAAAACACAAATGATTCCGGGGCATTTTTACATTTTATTTTGAATGATTTTTATTTGCACACGGACCAAACATTGTTACTGTACTAAGTACTTGCCACTTTTTTGTCCACCATGTCGAAATTATCTGGTATTGTTGAACGTCAATGACATGTTTTAACTTGAATAAGATGTTGTGCGTTTGAACATTGCATACTTTGGCTGGAAACTGTTGCCATCTGTGCCCGTATGCGTTGCTTCTTCATAAGTTGGTGGATCTATTTAAGACGAATTTAATGAAATTAAAAAGTTTTCGCCATTTGAAAAAGTTAAATGTACTTTCATTTGAGAATGAGAATAGGGCGCTTGTATGTGCTGGCCCATAGCCATTTCGATGGAATGAAGCTGATGGTTGCTGTGAATTATTCACATCATTTGCCGGGAATGAACCGACAGCCGTATTGGGATATGGATTCTCATCTTGTATAGGATACGATCCAATTGTTATTGGCACATCTAACACGGGATTTGAATGAAAACATGCCACTGAACCAATTATCTACCAAACGAAAAGAAAAAACATCATCACAAATATAGACTTACAAAGAAAATTTTGATTTAAATTCAAAACATACACGAATAGAATACACAACGTTGATAATGTTACTGGCGGTGACATCGGTGGGTGGAATTGGTGGCACTTCGATATTAACGCGAATAATCTCTTCTTCACTTACATCGCAACCACGTGTATCTTGTTCAGTTATGGAAATGACTTCGTTTTTCTGTCGAGAACTGTTTTCAGAAACATAGTAAGTGATTTGCTGAAAATAAAATCAATTTTTTCTGCATACTGAATTGTACACTATCATTTTGAATGTGTTTCTCTCTTACTTTAATCAATGACACCGAAAAGTCGGCAACAGGTTGATCACTGTCATTTTTAA